ACATTCCGATAATAATCAATTCACGTGTTAGACATTATTTAGAAAGAATGGTAAAATTCTGTGGATAATTAGGAAGTCATTTAGAATTTCGATTCTCGACTTTCGACGGGGTTTCACAGATTGCAATTATCGGCGCATAATGGTGATGGAATTCGAGTTCAAGTTCATAGCCAAAAGACACAGTGGAAAAGTTTCGACATTTGGAGAAACGATCGTCTCGTTTCGGGAATATGATGTGATGTGGAATTTGCGATAATATTCCAAATTTTTAAGGTACACGTATTGAGAATGTTACACGTGGAAATAATTAATTCGCCATTTCGATATTTTGCCATGAATGGAATCTAGAAAATTGAGCATGTAAATAGAAAAAAAAAAATTTACACATTTTATCGAATACTTTAAAATTAACTCTATTACAAACCTTTCTCAATGCTTATCATGAATGGCAAAATTTTTTTCTCGACTGATTAAATTATTACCAAATATACAGAGGATCGTCATATGTACGCAGCAATTAATTTATTACTATCTGGTTGAGGAACATTTATCCCAAAGATAATTTCTAGATGTTATAAAAATGGATTTTTTAATCAGTCTCGTGATAATTCTTAAGTAAATTGAAGAGAAAGTAAACGAGGATGCACAAAGTATCGATATAAATGCATTGAAATTTTAATATTTTATTGCATGGAAACTTTTTTCATAAAGAGGTGAATAAATCTTTCAATTTATTAAAACGTAAAAAATATCGAATAAAAATTTGAATATGACATTTCGTCGAGAACGACGAAATTAATATAAATATAATTTAATTATTTAACAAATGGAAAAAAATAAAAAAAAGAATTAAAAAATAAGAAACGCTGTCATCTATAAATTAAATATTCATATCATTATTCTTCTTCAACCTTATGAGCTTTTTATGTAAAAAAAAAAAAACACAAACAAAATCACTTCAGCCTTACTGGAAAATAACCGAAGACACGGAAGCAAGACGATATATCGAACTTACACCATGTCTTACAAAATATTTTCTCAAAATAATCCTCGGTTGAGTTTGATGGCGCGTAGTCAGGGAATAGAGGCTCGCCTAATAATAGCGATATAAGAAGGAGATTCATGCGAGAATTCGAAGAAGAGATAATGGAAAAAAAATCGAAAGTATGCCGATCGCGGTGGAAATCGGTGTTCCAGATATCGGGAGAGAAGAAGCAATTATCGATGAAGATAGATTACCATTATCGTGTTGCACTGGACACAATGCGGTGGCCCGTTTATCCGAGAATTCATTTCTGGCTCGATACCAAACGATTCTATATCGTTTCTTTCTCTCCTCGTTTGCTCATTCTTCATCGTCATGGGATAACGTACCCGCGATAACAAAACGAGGCGAATACAATAAGCTGCGAAACAATGATCTATCGAAGAGGGTTCGATCTTTATATCCCTGTAAACGCGTTATTGTGTAACAATGAGTGGATATTTTTTTTTAATTCACAATATCATTTAAGCGAAGGAATTCTTTTTCTTTGAATTTCTAAATTCCAATACGTGGTAAAATTTCAAAGTTTTTGGCTGCTAATGTACATTTCCGTTCATAAGTATCTGAATACTTTGATAAAGTTCAAGTAGCGTTGTAATCAACGAGTGTACTATTAATTAAAATATGTTGTTTATTATTATCCTGTAAATATCGATAAATAACTCGAAAACCAAACCGATAACTTCATCAAGATAAATTATTTCTGAAAAACGAAACGATTAATATTAAAATAAATTATATGCAAGATAATGAATATATGAAAATATTGCGGTTAATCGATTTAACTTCTCTCTCCGGATACATTTGTGTATTTTTATATAATTATGCCTAATCATCGATTGTTTTAAACAATCTTGAAAAAAGAGAATTGTTAAAAAAATGTAATTTTTGCGATGTCACTCACATTTGGGATTGCTTGAAACCGATATATTTCTCAGGAAGTGTATGTTCCCGCGTGAAACTTTTCCAATCGGCGTTTTAGAAGTTTTGTTGCTTTCTCCGGTTTCTTGATCTTGTTGCCTCGAAGATAGATAGAATATTTAGCCGAAGAGTTTGATAGTTTTATATCCCTAGCTTCTTCTGAGATAATACTGGTATTAGTTTCAACAATTTGACGACTTTATCAATTAACAAAGATGACTTTATCTTAAAATTAATTACATTCCACCGAGATTAAAAATATAAATTCTGTAACTTATCAATTTTAATGTTATGCAAATTTTCCACGAGAAAACAAAGAAATAAATTTGTTTCTGTACGTTTGCAAACGAATGAAATTTCTGGAAGTCGATCTCGTTATGCCGGTATCCAGCGCGTCTTCCTGGAAACAAACTGTTCGTTTTGATGGCGAGAAAGAAGCCCTCGTTAGGGAGAGACGTTCGTTCAATTCGATTTAAACGGTATATTGTGTTTAATTGGAAAATTGTCAGGTTTTCAATTGAATTTTCATGCAAACGATCGCTTTAATTAGCCGACCAGTAACTGGATGATTTCTTCCAGCGAATATCGAGCGATGGAAAGTATTAATAAAAGTTATGCAAGATATTTAAAACGATATCTTTCTCATTCCTCAACTATATATGATATAAATAAAATCATTATTACTTCGCTAACGTTTTAAAACGTTTTTTAATTTTTAATCGATACTATCTTCTTTATTATTCTTACAGTAGAAATCGAATCTAAATTTCTAATAAAGTTTGAATATTTTGCTTATTATTTTCTATTGTTATTAAAGAAATTTTGTAACAATTGAATGAAGATGTTCCATTGATAGTCGACCGAGGTATGAAGAAATTCTTTTGCGCCCTTATCTCGCGCAACTTCGACACTTGGAATAATAGTCGAATGGAAAATTATATGCGCCATGACCCGATATCGTGTATAAATATTGAAACGAGCCACGTAAGTACATGGGATCGAACTTCTCTGTCTGATAAATCAAACAATCGTGCCAATATTTGCACATTTTTACATAAATCTCGATCATATTATCGTAACGTTATTATAAACCTTAAACATTCTTGTGAAAATGAGTTTATCTGTAGTTAAAAATTTTTTTTTTTTTTTT